ATAGCAGTCAATCGCCGCTTAATCTCGAACTCTTGTAAGATCTCGAATAGTATCTCCGCAAGATAATCACCAGTATAACGGCTAGTAATATAAGGGAAACCAAGCATCCCTTCGTACCAAGTCTATTGGTCGTCAATCCAGTAGACCCGTATAGTTAGGAATGAGGTTTTCATAGTCCTGGATTGCCAACTATCATACGCGATAGCCATCTTGAATCTTCCAGCGAGACGGGCTTTAAGGGAGTCGGCGGAGTCTATAACCTTAGTATCGAGCATCCTTCGGTATGTCGACGCGCATTTGAACGGAATTGTCTCGACCTATCCCGGAAGTAGTGCTATATAAGTCTGTTTCACCGAGGGTCGTTCAAAGAACTGGAATAGTAGACCGTTGTCGACAATCATCTCAAAGCATAGGCGCGGGAAATCGTCTGGTGTGTAGCCTAGGTCCCTTGTCTACCGTGGATTGCTAACAGTCTAGAAATATCGTCTTAGTATAAGTAGCTAGACGTAGTCGGCAGACGTGGTCGGCAGGTATGGTCGGCGTTAGTTAGTACTTACCTGTCGATGCTTCGCGGCCGTAAACATCTCCTTTGTAAACCCTCGCTTATCTTGTTTCTCCTGGCAGTTCGAGGAGTCGAGATGCTTCTCGACAGATGTTGTACTAGTATTTAGTGCTGGGTGTTTTAGTACAGCGTTACAGCATCTGTATACGACTTTAGGCGTCGCATCTTCTTGAAGCATTCCCTCCTCTAGGAAATCCTATACCCAAGATGTCCGAGACTTACTCCCCTAGGTAATTAGGGACCGATCGAACATAGCACGACCGTTCCGCTTTTTAAGGCGCTTTCCGGTATAATTCCACCACCGTACCTCGTACCAACGCTCAAAGTTGTCCTTATACCTAAGCCTCTATAGCCAGCAATTTGACTTGATATCCTACTCTCCTATATAATTAGGCTCGACAGGGAGAATAAGGGAACTATCTAGTTCCTCTTCTACTGGACTCGGCCGTCTCGTTCTACGCCGCCTAACGTCAGGTTGTCGTCGGCGTCGACCTAGTGTTAGATTCGATAGCGCGTTGAGTGTCGTCCTATAGCGCTGGCGTAGCCGTACGCTCGATCGCGTAGGGGTCCCGGAAGAGGTATCGGGCTAGGAGGAGGATTCGAGCCGGGAGCTTCCTACTCCTAGGGAGGACGAGAAGGAGGACGAAAACATAGTAGATAGACGACAATAGCGTAAAAGTCTAGAGGTATCTTGAAGAAGTAGGAGTAGAAAGGGGAAAAAGAAAGAGAATTTCCTATACTCAATCATAGTGTTACGCTATAACAAGGGTATAGCCAATAGGATATGCCGACATTCTGCCACATCCGAGCCAACCTATCGAAACCCTAGTTCAGGCGTCGCTTGCTATTTACCCATCGCTTCCGCTTCTTAGTCTTAAACTTTAACAAGGGTAGCTAGTCTCTTGTCCTTCTCAACCAGTTCCTCGAGACCAGAAATCGAGAGGCAGAGTTCGTCTTCTTGGAGGAGGAGGAGCAGGATAGCTTCGAGAGTAATACTAGTATACTCTTTTACGCTACAATAGATAAGGCTTTCCATCACTGCTAGCCACATTGTCTGTTCCTTCGTAAGAGAGTTCTCTTTCTCGCACATCTTGTACGCTATCTTTGCGAGATGCTTGTTCTCCTTCATTGTCTTTGAAGGCAAAAAGCCGTTAGCTACATAGTCGTAGGTAGCGGGAATGAGCCAAGAAGGGCCTAGCAATCGCCCTCCATAGTAGGCTTGAGCTTTAGTATCCTACGATAGGACATTCCGGCAAACGGCTCGCTCAATAGGCGAGAAGATCTTATATAGTAATGGCATTCGGACTTCTTTAATGCAAATCTGGAATTGTGATTAGTTTCTGTAGTCGGCAAATATGGTCGGCAGATATTTACCTTCATTGTCTCGCTACCAACGATTTTCAAGACCTCTTTCATGCCTTTCTCATTTAGTATATCCAGGTTCTCAAGGATAACAATCTTGTCCCAGAAGTGGTGAATAGAAGAGCGCTATTGATTGTAGGCCGTCGAAAAAGTGGAAGAGGATGCCTGGATAGCAAAGGTACCAATGGACTTAGCCCTCGCTTCCTCTATCTATAGAGTCGAGAATGGATTGAGAACTGATTCCGAGGGAAGGCAATAATTGCCAAGGCCGCTAACCCCTTTGTCGCACTCCTCGCCAACAGATAGATGCTCCTATTCCTACTCAATCTGGTCTTCTTTCTGGAATGTCAATCGTTCCTTAGAGTCGATATCGCCGAGTTCGAGAAACCAGTCGGCTTTATCAATCTTTGCCTGCTTATCGGGAGGAAGTGTTGTACTCTTTCCAGTCTGCTTCTTTGTACTAAATCAGAAGTTAGTACTCAAATCTGCTGACCATATCCGCCGACTACATTTGCACTTACGCTTTTTGATCATACTCCTTTATATATATCTTTCTCCAGCCCTCGATAAGTTCCTGTTGCTTATCTTTAGCGAGGCTTTCGAAACTCGTATACTCCTTGATTTGTGCCTTTTTGAATCGCGCGAAGGATTCGTTACGCGCTTTGCGGTATCGATCCTATGCCCTCTTTTCTTCGTCCATAGCGGCAGTACGCTCTCGGTCTCGTAAAGTGTTTGGCTTGAGGGAGTACTCCTCGAGTGACTTCGAGGCTGCGCCGAGCTTTGCGCGCTTGTTTGCTAGTGCCTCTGGGGCATTGCTCTTGCGTTTCGGCATAGTGAGGTTTCTAATGTTGGTATAGTAGTTAAAGAAGAACTCGGTCTGATTACGAAGGTAGGTATCGACGGCGCTAGTGAAGGTACGGAGGTACGGGTGTTGTAGAGGTGTTGTAGTAAGGTAGTGAAGTGAGAGAGAGAAAGTAAATTTACCCTACTAGGGCAATTTAAGGTTTAGGTAGCTGCCGAATCCCGGCATTAGTTACGCCGGGCAACGATACTACCTATCTTTCCGGACTAATAACACTCTACCGCACCACTGTACCGCCGACGTTATTCTAGATAATAAGTATAAGAACTATACGTAAGTCGCCCCCCCCAGGCGTTATTAATTTCGAATATGAGTTGTTATCCGTTCGTTCGCCACTACTAGGATAACTGCTAGCAGGGGTTATATATATATATATATAGTATATAGATATCTATATTAAAACGATATATATATCAAGTATAGATATCTAGGACCTATATGTAAAAACGCGTCTAAATTATATATACGCCCTAGAGAAAACAATAGGTCCTACAGCTATAGAAGAACGTGTTCGGCAGACGTAGTCGGCGTATAAGTCGTATATCCTACTAGCGGCCTTAGGATATATATAGAATCCCTGTATAGATTACTAATTACCTT